TGTACGTGCTTAGGGCATTGCACTTTCAAGACCGTTGCACTGCATAATGCCATCCCTACTGTGTAATAACACTGCAATGATGTTATACAGATCTTGAACAGTTGATGACGCTCTTCCAAACAAAATCTGGCTTTTGATGTGTACAGTGTACAGTTTTTGTCAGGTTTTTGTACAGTACAAAAAAAATGCTGTACATAGCACGGGGGGGGGGGGGGGAATGAACGCGTTTTAAGCCAATAGCAGTCAAGTGGTTAAATTATCTTCTATGGCAAATGTATGAAATGCATTATGGTTCAAGGCATGCCCACGTAGAGGATTTTTGTTGTTGGGGGTCGGGGCAAAATGCAATGAATTATTGATAATTTATTGCATTTTCTTTTTCTTTTCTTTTTATTTGTGGGGGCGGCGATGTACCCTAGCCCCCGCTGCGTAAAGTCATGATTCAGTGGTCAAGCAATGGCCTCGTTTAATACTGTGAGGCCCCATAATAAACAACGTGTCCATCAGCTATATTAGTGCCCTTCTGTGAGGCATTAATCTTCATTACTTTCAGTTATGACTTAAGGACGTAGGTCTCCTAGTTGATTAGCATAGTAGCACAAACATGCTTTGGCAGTCACGCACAACAAACACTCGCAAATCATTATTCAATAAAATCTGAGAATGTATACTATTATTAGATCTATTAGGAATAAATCATTGCCAAAATCATTCCATAAATTGGGGTAACAATAATTATTCCACCATTATGACCAAAAGTGTATCATGAACTTAATTGCCACATATGAACACGTACACACAGTTAAGATTATGATAATATCTGAAATTGTATATATTCCCATGTTCATTCATTAACACAACAATTAAAAAACATTTTTATAACAATATTCTTGTACTAACCCTTATCGTGCTACACATACATTTTGTTTAAGTATTTCAGTATACAAGCCACATACTTTAAATAAGCGATTCATAAGAGAAGATCAGTTAAAGTATTTAAAACATATCTATTTATTAAATGCGGCATAATATATAAATAATTGTTCTGTCCTTCTTTGTATGTTCTATTTTCCCTTTGTACAGATATTTTTATGTGATCTCTTTTGTGTGTTTTTGTCTCACCAGTTTGCCTCGAGCATTTGATTTCAAGTTGATTCAGCGCCTTAATTTTGTTATTATTTTAACTATTATTATTGTTAGTAGTTGTTGTAGAAGTATTACTGTTATTATTGTAATTATTATAGGCGCATTCATACAAACTTATCAATCAAGCTCTAACCCTCTTAAAGGTACTATGTCCCATTTGCAGGCCAAAAAATGAACAGTTTGAATTCCAACGGCATTTGAAAGACAATACTAATTTAGAACTTTTCTCACAACAAAAGGGCTTGAAAATGTTTGTTTTTTTGTGTGTAGCATTCTTTATTGTATTCATTCAGTACAAAATATAAAAAAATAAAAATAAAAAACATCCATCTTTTAGTGGGAAAATAACGATCATTATAGTTGTCAAATCGACTTAAGTGATTGAAATCACCTAAGGAATAGTGTGATTTTCAGACCCGTTTACCGAATGGACGTACGTTTTGTGCTGCACAAAGATTCAATCAGTTTAATTTTGGCCATTACAAGTAGTGGGTTATTCATGTAGACAAAATGCTCATTTACCTGTTACAGCTCATTTTGTGTATATTATTACCACCAAAAAAAATGTCAGTCAGTCACTCAATAGTTTCTGACAGTGAGGTCTAGGAGTTAAACAGCTTTCCTTGCATAATCTGATTACTAGGACACTGCTAATGTTTACATTTCACAAATAGGACATTCATGACATATTCATAATTCCTGCAAATTTCTACAGAATTTGATGCTGGCTTCAACAGGGACAAAGTATCTTTAATACTCTATAATCCTTAAGGTTTTGGCGTATTTATAATTGTGTGAAGTGTACCAGAGAATTTTTGTAGTGCTTCAAGTTTGACCATTGTGAGATGGTATAATTATGAATCAATTGTCAAGGAAACGAAAGGTTACTCGGGCAATATAGTGCGTGGCACATTAAGGGTTACAGTTTCATATCATACTAAGGAGTTACTAGCTAGTAACTCCTTGATCATACTAGGGATGCATATATACAGTACAAACTATACTGAACAGCTGTGCATGTGTTATTAACTTTTATAATAGCGTTGATTATATTAAGTTTTTGAATAATATCATATCTTTATTTATTTATTCTTGATTTCTTTCAACAGGGTAGTTTCATTTAGTTTCATCTGCTTTTCAAGAAAGCACTGCATAATACAATGACGGTATAAAACATAGGTATAATAATACAACAATTAAAAATTGTACATACATGTGAAATATCAAATTCTACTACTACTTCCTATACCTTTTCCCCTCTCAGTCTTTTAACACTCTTCCTCTATAAATCTATCCCACTCTTTATTTCAATAAGTTACAGTTTATATTTGCAAACGTTACTCCTCACTTTTCAGTTTTACTCTCGACTTTTTCCACCACTTGCTCCGTTTACCGCTTAATATTACTCACTTTAGAATTTCCGTTTCGGTTCAATAAAATTTGGAGTGGACTATTAGGCTACTATTATTATTATTATATATTTAGTCCTTCTTTCACATGATTTCAGTGCTATTTAATGCTATTTAATTAAGATTTCTTTCTAACTTATGTTTTCATATGTTGCAATTATGTCTCGTATTTATACTGATTTATTTTACAAATTCAATATATCATGTTATGCTTTGTTATAAATTACATTATGTGTTATTAATTTTGTTTGTAAACTTTTGTAATTTGGCTACACGCCGCGATGAAAGTTTTATTTGAAATAAATCATTTTGAATTGAATTGAATTGAATTAAACATATATCTTTTAAAGATAAGACTATTTGAATCATACAATATTTATTATCAATTATTAAACAAATATATATATCTTATTGATTTTATCTTTGAATGTGTTCTCGAGAGATTTGTGTAATAATTGTTTTGATATTGATATTCATTTGATGTGCTTTTATTGTAATTTGAATGTAATTTTCAGCTCTCGGCCATTTTCAGTATAGTCTAAATCATTAAAGACCCTAAAAGGTGATGAAAATACAACGCTAATCAATCATTGTAATCGAATTGAAAATTGTGACACTCCCAGCCCCCCCCCCCCCTTGAAGTTGCTCGTTTTTTTTTTTACATACAGGAATGCAACACAATGTGTTCAAATAAAATCATTCAAAGTACATACACAATAATGCCAAGCAAATAGTTTAAAAAGAGAATGTAAAAACATTGAAATATATCATGGTGAATGTTTGCAATATAGAATAATCAAATATTTAAAGTACAATACCGAGTAACAGAAAATAATGATATTTTAAAAAATATGAAACAGACTATTGGTGAGTAACTAGGTGCCATAGAATCCTTTATACGTCCAATGACTTGAGATACTGTTTAAGATTCAATTTGAAAGATACCAAAGAGGTCAACTCCCGTATAATAACAGGCAAATTATTCCACAAAATTAGTAATATAAAGAGTGTTTGCAGTACTCAATGCGGCATTTGAGAACGACAAGATCGTGTTTGGCGGTTTGTCTCGTATTTTTATCCTGTTTTTTACTTAACTCTTGGAAATAATCTGAGTAGTAATCAGGAGAGAGGCCTTGACAGCATTTATAAACAAATACATATCGGAAATAAGTTATTCGATATCTGAAAGGTATCCAGTTCAGACTTGAGAACATTTCCTTAGATGGGCTATAAATATTACACATAAGGATCAGACGGGCTGCCCTCTTTTGTAGTTTAGTAATTCGATCTACATGTATATTCCCAGCAAACACAAAACGTTTTTAAAACGTTTACAGAACCTTCTTATCAGGTTCCGTACGTCTTCGTCCATATTAAACGTTTAAAAACGTTTATATAACGTCTAAGTTGGGACCTTACATTCGCTGCGGAGCTAGGTCTTTTGAAGACGTTCAGAAAACGTTTTTTGGACGTTACAAATTAAACGTTCTTGGATAGGTCCTGTAAAACGTTTACAGAACGTTTTATTCAGACGTATTTTGTTGAATTTATTTTTTATGTCCAAATAAATATTTCTTAAAAAATACCAGCTGGCGAAATTAGGCCACATGCATACGCTTGGGGGGGGGGGGGGGGTCGAGGTATGTCAAACTGATGCACTCCTGTGGCGTAGCGATTGAGGGAGGCACGTGCATGCCCCCAATAATTTTGAGGAAAAAATAGAAAACATAAGGTGACATTATTTGAAGAAAAAAGAAATACATAAGGAGTGACCCCTCCCCCTCACATAATGTTCGATCTACATGTATATTCCCAGCAAACACAAAACGTTTTTAAAACGTTTACAGAACCTTCTTATCAGGTTCCGTACGTCTTCGTCCATATTAAACGTTTAAAAAACGTTTATATAACGTCTAAGTTGGGACCTTACATTCGCTGCGGAGCTAGGTCTTTTGAAGACGTTCAGAAAACGTTTTTTGGACGTTACAAATTAAACGTTCTTGGATAGGTCCTGTAAAACGTTTACAGAACGTTTTATTCAGACGTATTTTGTTGAATTTATTTTTTATGTCCAAATAAATATTTCTTAAAAAATACCAGCTGGCGAAATTAGGCCACATGCATACGCTTGGGGGGGGGGGGGTCGAGGTATGTCAAACTGATGCACTCCTGTGGCGTAGCGATTGAGGGAGGCACGTGCATGCCCCCAATAATTTTGAGGAAAAAAATAGAAAACATAAGGTGACATTATTTGAAGAAAAAAGAAATACATAAGGAGTGACCCCTCCCCCTCACATAATGTTTGTGCCCCCCCCCCCCCCCCCCCCCCCCCCCCCCCCCCCCCCCTCCCAGCCCAATCAGTCCGACCGCGCTACGTCATTTATTATGCTCCATTCAACCACGTGTATACAAAGTGCGTACGCACCGTATATAATCGTACCACTGTATAGGTCAGTGAATCGTATCCGGCGCGGCCGGTGCGGCGCGCTCGCTCCAGAGCTTGCCGCGTGTTTTAAACTGACTGCCGAGTTGACTGCTTGATGACGTGACATCGAGATTTCAAATAATCTGTTAGACTGCGACACCGAGGTAAGCGTTATTTTAACATTTTGATATCTGTAAGGAATTTAAGCTTTGTTTGATTGATTTTGAAGCATGTAAAATGAAATAAAATATTGATTATTTGCATTAAAACTAAAAGTACGGCAGACTCTATGTCGCATGTGCAGGCCGTTGAAACTTTCATTGCATTGACTGGTATGGTAATTGGGTAGGCTAGGGTATGTGCACACATAACTCCAGGAAGCTCCGATGCCGAACGGCGTCGGAGCTTCTTGGAGTTAGTGCATACCCGAGTTAGTGCATACATAGCTGCATTACTATCCTGGCTGTGTGTATTAAAAGCTGTGCTATTGATACTCAACATTTCAAACACCACTGTACAAAACTCTTTCACTAAAAATCGGTACTTTAGTGACAATTGATGAAACCTAGTAAATAGCAGTAATAAAATACAATTTGTTCAACTTACCGATGTTATTTTGTTAAAAAGAACAATTTAGAAATTCAAATTGTTTGTCTACTGTCAAAATTTGCTTACAGCCGCATCGGCATGATAAGTGCATTTGTGTATTATGTGTGTATCGACTATTCCTTTTGAGCAAATGCTGCCTCTTAACACGTAATGCAGTGCTAGAGGTCAATACGCATAATAGCATGGACTCTTTGCTGGAGTGGGTAGGTGCGCATGGCTCGTTACATTACATGGTAATCGGATGATTAAAACAGTTGAGTTGTTAACTTTGCTGTCTGGAAAAATCATGGAAAGTTCCCATCGGGATTTAAAATGCTATTTCGTGAAGAAAATAAGTCCCTCGACTACCAGCTCATTTCTTGACTTATTTACTATTCCCTCAATAGCATTTAAAATCCCACGGGAGTGGAACATTCCATGCTTTTCCCTCCACCACCATTTAGCAACTTTATATTATCCCAACCCCGATTACAACAGGTTTGTTTTTTAGGCAATTGAAATAGCTCCCAAACCACCTTTTTTGTATGGATATTGTTTTTTTAGAAATATCGAGACCTAGATCTATAGGCCTATCTTGTTCTCAATTTCGTCTCTTTAAAAAAAATCTTTTTAGTTCAGATTACACATTATTTAAAGAAATTGATTTCCAATAACGTAGATTAACAACTTAAGGATTGATTTGTTTTATTTTTACATACAGGCAACTATGTGAAAGTGCAAAAATATCGCCAGGAAGGCAGAGGACACGTCAAACCTGGTATCGGAAGATGATGCTGTGTAGAAGCGAAAGAGACGTCTTTCCCCAGAGATTTAGCAAATCTTCTAGTGATTCCGGAAGTGACGCTGGTAAGTATTTGTCTCTTGATGGTTAGTAGTGCTTGGCTCAGCCAAAGACTTATAATTTACATCTTATTTCTCGTTTTCTTCAAAATCCAACAGATGATGAAAACCTAAGATAATTTATTTGGGATAGCTAGACCTGCTTTGTGTCCCAGCCATGCAAAATGATGATTAATAGATGTGGCACCATTCCGGCAAAACTGGAAATTAATTTGTAATCTAGGCATAAATTTCGGACAAGAAGTTTGCATTACCCAAAAGTTTGTTCAGTTTATGAGAATTCTTGTCATGTCTTGATATCCCTTTTAACATCTGCAATGTGTCTCTGTTTTTCAGATCTTGAATCAGTTCGGACCCAAGAAAACAACATGTACATACACGGAGGAACGACTAAGGCTGTGGCAGCAGAGTTACCAATGCCGAAACTGAATGCGAAGTCCAAGTCCACATCGCATTTTTCAGTTCCAACCCACAACTCCAGCAAGGGCTCGGGCTTCGGAAAGTAAGTTTTTTTCAGATAGCATTTCACAAACGAAAGTTTCTGAGGTTTTTTTATCATCAGAACATATACTGTAGAGCGTATAAACTAACAAAACAACATTTGCCATTTGTACTAAGTTGCTACACTAAAATACTGTTGGATTGGATAAGAGAGGCAGATTATCTTGGCGTACATGTAATTTATTTCATTAACAAGGCATGGGTATAGTTTTCTTACAGAAGAGTCGCTTTTAAATCCTTACAGTATGTATACTTTGTTGGAAGCGCTGCACAGGTGTCGTCTTTGAAGCTGGGTGATATATTCCTGAAGTGACTAAATTGGACAGCTATCAAACATCTTGCCAAAATATCCTATTAATTTGCTGTCAAACTTTTTAATGACTTGAACTGTTATTATAATGTATTTTATGTGTCTGTTTTTTTCTTCTCAGGCAATTTTCAAGTGCAGGTACTGTGTACGCTGCAGAGGCTGGAGGAAGGGCAGCAGCAGCTGACGCAGTTGGTACAAAAACTGCTTTTGTCCAAATCGGGAGCGGCCGTTGATGTGGAAGACCTGAGGGAGCCGTTTACCGAACCAGTGAACACCAAATTTTCATTCAAGGTAGATTAAGATACCTTCATTCAGGGGCAATGCAAAAATCCTAAAACTCATATTGAGACCAAATTTGACCATTTCAGCTAATAATGGAGAAACTTTATCAGCGACATAACAGTTTTGTTGGTGCATCTTTTTGGATTGAATTGCCAACATCTTGTTGAGAATGCAAGACAAACTTGTATAGGTCTGTAAATTTACTACTTTTTGTAAGGATGCTGAAACCGATGGCCCGAATTCACAAAGGAGGTTTGAGCTCAAACCTTGGTTTTCGTACGTCATATGACGCGTTTTACGCGTTTTTTACAAACCTGGTTTGTAAAGAACAAAAGGAGGTTTGGCGAAACAAAAGGAGGTTTGAGCTCAAACCTTGCTTTGTGAATTCGGGCCAATGTGTGTGCTGCCAAACTCTCTTATAACCTTGTCTTCCATATTCATAGACCCTTAAATTTGAGTATTCATATTTGCCTGTTAATAATTCATATCAACTAATTTCTATCAGTTTATTGTAAATAGCTTTTTGTAGATTGTTCATGTGTTTTGTGTTGATTTTATATTTGAAGTAAGATGCAAGGTCCAATGCAAGGCTTCTGGGAAATCTTGACCTGCACACTAAATCTTTGGTCGATCAAAAGGACAATTTTGTACTCGGATTTAAAGGGGAAATCTACCCTAGAAATTTCACTGCTTCAATCAAAGGAGACAAATTTGAACAAAATTAAAAATAAGAAATGGGCAAACTTGGTAAGGAAAACAAAGTAAGGAAACTACTCTTTTTTTACATTTTCTAGTAAATTACTCTCGGCTATTCAAATTGACAATGCTGATGACATCTTGAGTAGCTCTAAATTCACTTTGTACACAAAATTTTACATTTTCTAACCCCCATAGTCAAAGCATGTTGTCTAGAAAGCTATTCGTCATTAGTAATCTGAACATACTCTGATTAAAAGCTGTGGAAATGTGTAACTTTAAGGAAAATTTAGAAAATATGAAATTTTGAGTACAAAGTTGATGGATAGCTACTCACAGTTGGTGTCATCATTGTTGTCAATTTGTAGAGCTGAAAAGAGTGTAGTTTCCTTGTGTTTTTTTGCCGTACTTTCACTTGAAATGTGACTTCTTAAAATAGTCACATTTTTATCACTTGTAGAAGTTGATGAGAAAGTAAATACATGTACTCTTTTGAATAGTTATAATTTGCACCGGATGATGAAGCTAATCCTGGGTGGAGGCACATAGTTAAATCGGTTATTCACATGTATTTAATGATAATTTGTGACATTTTGTTAAAAGGTTCTGGTGAATTTATTCACATTGAATTTGATATAGTACACAAAAAATTAAATCCACTATTTGGTTTTACCAAAGATCAAGACTTATTGTAGAAAGATTTCTTAATCATTTGCTGGGGCATCTTTTTGGCATGAATTGCCAGGTTCTGTAAATAACTCAAATTGCTTTTATAAAGTGTGTTACCAAAGTTGCTATATGTGTGCTGCCAAATTATTGACACTATTCAAAGTATTCATTTTATCTTGCCTTGTATATTCATAGAGACATAGACCCGTGAATTATATGAGTATTCATATTTGCCAGTTAATGAGGCATATCTTCAACTCATCTATCATTTTCTTATGTTTTATTTGTAGATTGTTCATGTGTTATGTATCTATAGTTTTAAAGGGATAGTTTAGTATTGGTCAAACTTAACTTTAAAACCAAAACCTGCACCATCACGGTGCAAAGTAATAATTACAAACGGCCAAGTAAAGCCCCTGTTATTATCAAAATGACCCGTTACTTTCAGTTTCTGCATTTAATTTTTGTTAAAATACTAATTAAATATCTATATCCATTGCTTTTTAAAGAACTATTCAGATTTTTTTTCTTCAAAGTAGTCTTCATGCATTTTTAATATTTTGAATAAAAATATATTTATGGATATTTCAGCCGTTTGTGAACCGATATTGATAAAAAAACAATTTATTCTGAATATTAGAATTGTATGTTCTTTCGGGGGCACTTCGGGAAATACCAATACTCTTTTTCAAATATACATGATGTACTGTATTGCCAAGCCTTTGTACATATTTTGTAAATATGTTTGATAATAAATTCATAAAATCAATCAAATACATGTGTGACCTAGCGTTTATTAAAAATTCACTGTATATTGGACGTTCTTAAAAGGTTTTCTGAACGTTCTTAAAACGTTTCCAGGACGTTCTAGACGTTCTTAAAAGGCTTACTGAACGTTTTAAAAACGTTTCCAGGACGTTCTAGACGTTCTTAAAAGGTTTTCTGAACGTTCTCAAAACGTTTCCAGGATGTTCTGGACGTTCTTAAAAGGTTTTCTGAACGTTTTCAAAACGTTTCCAGTACATTCTACACGTTCTTAAAAGGTTCTCTTGGACATTCTAGACGTTCTTTAAACGTCCTGGAAACGTTCTAGACGTTCCTATAAGGTTTTCCGGACGTTTTTAAGGTTCTTAAAACGTTCTTAAAACGTCCCAAACGTCCGACAGGTTTTCTGCAGGTCCTTGCACTTAAAAGCAAATCTATAAAAGGTTTTTTATTGGTTCTAAAAACGTTTAGAAAACGTTCAAAAAACGTCCATTTGGAACGTTCCAAAAAACGTTTTCAACCTACCACAAATAGACGTCTTTAGAACGTTTTCACAAAACGTTTAGGAAACCAATTTGGAACCTTTTTAGAACGTTCAGAAAACGTCCAATTGTTACTTGGGTTAAAACGATCTCCCCATATCTCACAGCAGTAATCCTTCTGTGATTGAATGAGGCATGTATATAATAATTTTAGAGTATCATTTTCTACAAAAGGTCGAATTCTTTTTAACATCGCAAGACCGGCAAATATATTTTTACATACAGAATCAACTTGTTCATGCCACATTAAATGTTTTAACTATTATTATCGATTATCCCGATTCTCCCAGAGAGTAGCTCTTTTAAGAAAATATTTCCTTTAAAAATACAAATTTATTTGTATAGTTCTTTGCATGATTAAGCTACATAAAAGAAAGCCATCTGATTGTTATTCCCCAAAAAATTATGTTTTATCGTGTTTTTTTTTACTCGTCGTCTTTCTCTCAGGCTCTCTCTCAGACTCTTTCTCTCTCTCTCTCTCTCTCTCTCCTTCTATTGTACTTTTCCTTTCTCTTTCTCTCGATACAGGAAGGCTTTTAATAAATACGATACCAAGTCTGTAAAGTCGAGGCAGGCATTCAATAAATCATATACTTTTACATTTTCCTATACTTTTAGTGACCAAGGATCCCTCATACATCTTTGCAACAAACATGTAAAATAAATCTTTGTTCCTCTTCATTTTCTATTTCTTCTTTTTCTTCTACTTCTTCTTCTTTTTCTTTAACTTCTGCTTCTTTATTTCTTCTTCTACTTCTTCTTTTTATCTCCTCATTTTTCTTCTTCTACCTCTTCTTTTTCTCTTTCTTCTTCTTCTTTTTAATCTTTTTTTTTTTTCGGAACAAGGGCAAAGACTGCATAATCTGCCGATTTGTTGTCAATGTTTTATAGTTTCACACCAGATTCAAAGAAAAAAATTGTCAAGAAGAAATTATAGTGTTTCGGGCTGAATCACTACAAAATCATGTTCCTCTTTCCATTTTTTCAAAATCAGATTTTCAAAATCCTACCTATAATGAAATATGGAACTGTCCGCAAATTAAGTTCACGTGCGAACTGTGATCACACCACTATTAATAGACAATAGTCAAAATATAAAAGAAGGATCTTTCTTTTTAGTCACTTCATGTGCATGAGTATTTTACTCATTTTCTGTTGTTCTATTATAATTAAAAACCCAGAAATTCATTTTATGTCATTTCAGCAACATTTGTGAATCGCTCTATCGAATTAGAAATAAACCACGTTGGATAAAGCCACGTTTGAATTTTATTATTAAAGGTTTGTTAGTACGCCAGTGGCTTGGGGATAGATACCGAAATCAGTAAAATTCATTTTCCGGAGCTTCGAGCTGATGCTGCTCTGTACTTAGCCGTAGATGGCGTTTCATAGTTCAATGGTTGCAAGATGGCTAAGTTCGAGTATGACGAGTCGGGTGGCACTTCACTTTATTTTCTGGTTTCTTTCTATGCACTTGTCCTTTTTCCACTAACGTATTACTTGTGGCCTTCTAAGCACAAAAAGGGTGAGTAATATTTCATTGGTAAATCTTATATTGAACCGTGACAAGTAACTTTGTTCTTGAGATTGCCAATGCGCTGACGATTGCCGTATGGGATGAGAGCCCGAGAAAAGACACGTTAACTTATCGTGCAGCGACCCCGGCGTCCTAGCGTAGGCCGGATGCAAAATGGTGTGTGCCATGCCCGCCTGTACGTGTAGGCCCTAGGTCTAGATCTACGCGTTTTCAAAACCTAACTAAATCAGACTCTAGATCTTGATTGTATGAAAATTATGTATTGAATAGCAACAATTGCTGTCAATCTAGGGTGTAGATGTACATGTAACCTAGATCTACATTTATCTTTTTGTAATTAAAGGTGAGTTTTGCTCGTCCGATCCGATTGCATTGTGAACATGGTGAAAGAAAACTTGGGTGTAGAATCTTCTTCTTCTTCCTTTTTGAGTACAGACCTCTTTACAGAGTATTATCATACTATAGTGTGTCCAGGTGGACCACGTACACCGGGGTTTCCCCCTACTCTCATACAATAGTGCAGAGGGTTCTTAACGTGCAAAGGTAGTGACTCTTCTCTAGCTACACGGAGCCTCCATTTAAGGTCCTATGCGAGGGACGGAGTGTTTTCCACTTTTAACAATAACATAACCTGCGTCTATGAACAAGGGAAGGGAAGGGAAGGGGCACGTTAACACTCAACGCAAGAATCGATCATAACAAGTTGATCATGTAGCATGTTAATTAGACCGAATTTTCTGTCTCTTTCGTTCGTTATGCCTCTTATTTGGGTAGGGTCGGCTCTCTCTTTAGAGACGGAAGCCGACTATACGCATTCCTTTGCTAACACCATGGCTATTTATGGCCATATTTTTATGCCCCGAAAATCCCCCCAAATGTCATTTTACCTCGTGCATGTTACATGTATATTGTAAATTAGGCCTAGGCTATGATAAATCGGTTCCACTTACCAACTTGACTGAAATAATCTGTTTAATGGTCCCTTATTAGGAAATTATGGGTCAAAATCAAAATCCATGTCTTGCAAGATTTTCAACATGGACTTCAACAAGCGGGCATGGGGTATTCGCTGAATTCGGGGACACTCTAAGCGCAGGCTTTTTTACATTAATTGCTTTCGTCATGATAAAGAAATTCATTTATTTTTCCTTTCTTTCTCTGTTCGTCTTCATGTACAGATGATCCAGAGAAGGCCCGGAAAGCATGTCACTGTGACCCGTGCGAGTCAAAAAGGGCCCAGATTAAGGCCCCCACCACTTCCAGCACTGTCAAAAACTTTGCCAGGTAATAAGTTTCAAGTTTTGTTGTACTACAGACATTTTTTTCCATTGGTGTCACATGCAATATGAAATACCATGTGTTGAGGGCCAGAAAGGCAGTCAGTTCAAAAGAAATCGGTCAAAGCAGTCAGTCAAAGCAGTCTGTCAAAAAGAAAAGTGGATAATAATTGTAGCTCCTCAAAATTTCAAAATACCTCTACATGCAGGCTACCTCCAAAAAAATCCAGGTATCATAAAAAGGATTTTTGTTTCTCTTTTTAAAATTGTTTTAAAATAATAAAATACAAAATAGTTAGTTTTTTGCAGTAGCCACCAGCCAGTAGTGCAACAACAACAAATAACCCACACACAATAGATATCAAATTATCAATCAATTCTGGGTAAAAGATATATCTCTATTTACTTGGGCTAATTCTTTGCAAAGTCATTAGAATTAGATACCACAGTTACAATGGAAAATATTTGTCATTTTTGGGAATGCATGGCCATGGAAAGTCAAGTAAGTGAGTTTTTCAATGAGGATGGTGCTTATTTTCTTGCTATTCGCTTCATATATGTAGCTCTAGCACACTTACCGGTAGTCAATTTTACTCAGAATGTACCCTGTGATGTACATGATTGGGACTCGGGAGATGAGATTATCAACAAATATTATTCTTTCTTTCATGAAACATTGTTCCAAAACATCTAACTTGTGAATGAACCAGTTTTTAATTTGAAGAAGAAATCAAAGCTTTATCTTACTCACAAATTGAAGCATTCCTATATTGATATTTTGTCTGCATTTTAACCACTCATGTCATTGACTCTTTGAAAGGATTTATAATTTGAGTAACAGACTTTTAAAATTCAAAATTATGTCTTCTTTTCTCTATCAGGTGGACATTTTTGTTTTTGGCATGGGTCATCTTTATTCTAGTAGCGCTGAAAGCTTCCCAAGTAGAAAGAGATCATATTGAGTATGATCCTTTTGAAATTTTACAAGTAGACAGGGTAAGTGTATTTTCAAGGGGTCAGTGACACAAAGACGTAACTCCATTTTGGCCCTTTTGAGAAAAAGTGGTTTATGTGTCACTGAGCACTTTGGCCTTAAGGAGTTAAGTCTATGTTTCACTAGCCATTGACTTCAATTGGGTGTTGGATGGAGTTAAGTCTTTGTGTTTTCTGGAAAGCACACATTTTTCTGAACTATTTGATATCAGATACTCAATTTGGCAAAATATGGAGTTACGTCTTTGTGTCACTGAACCCACAATATGTACATGTAGCTTATGACACAAGATTTACAGTTAAAGATAAAGTTGAGTTCTGGTCATGCGATTGCATTGTGAAAGAAACAGTGTGGAATCGACCAGAAAAGGCTGATCATCTAGCATATAAGAATTTGTGTGTATTGCAAGGTTCATCAAAATGATAAGAAATTTGGCCAAGTCTTGATAAAGTTACAAACACTGTACACATAAATATGTATATGGGACTACACGAACATGTGGTGTAAAAATCCTACCCGGATTTTTACGATGTTACACAACATATTTAGAATATGAAGGCATTTGAAGAGCCATGCTTTTCAGGGAACATGTCTGATGTTCTTCCACACTTGCAATAGGGACTTTTAGATTGAGTGGAGGAGAACACGACGAACGCCGACTGATCATGCGTGTCAACGTACTTAACTGCCCATGTTGACTACAATTATAAGTCTTTTAGATTGCACTCGACGATATACATGCATGCAGGAAGTAACACTATTAACATCACGGACAAAGAAAGAGGACAAAATATACAGTTCCTCATTCTATCCTCTACAAAAGAACATCCCTTCACTGCTATTACGTAAAAATGTGTAGAACAGGTGAATATGCATGTGACACCTGTTCTACACATTTTTACATAATAGCAGGGAAGGGATGTTCCTTTGTCTACCTGAGGAACTGTATATTTTATGCGCACGCGGCATACATGCGCAGTGCCTTAAAATGACGTCACACGTTGCAGTCAAAGCTGTCGACGTGCAAATCTAAAAGTCCCTATTATAAGAATGATAACACTCACAAATTATTTTTCTACTCTTCCCAGAACTCAACCTTCTCTTCAACTAAATTATTTATACCCCTTGTAAATTTGATGTTTTATGTGTTTTTTGTATTCATACTAAAAAAAGAAAGGTGGACTAGTTGAGTAGGGGCATTTGTTGTATACTTTTAGATAAAAGCTTTAATATTTCATGTATAAGATGATAACAATTTAGTTGTTAACTATTTATTAGGCACAACCCATATACAAATATTAGAATATGAATCCAAAGACTTGATATATATATTTAGAAAACACTGTAAATATTGGTTCAAAATGTGGATTGGCAGTTGTGCTGGGAAAAAAAAGATGTTTATATGATATAAGTATATATTTGATATTACTTGATTTCCTAATCCTTTGTATTCAAATTCATGAGATAACCATCCTCTTAGGCTGATATATGTAGAGGAATAATCTATTCCACTCAGCCCCCTCCCCCCCCCCCCCTCTTTTCTGTTTCTTGGAACCGAATGGCTTTACATTGTTCAGTTTCTATTTTTTGTTACAATGAATTGTTTCATTGGTATAAAACAAAAATAGTGATACTAAAGTAATACATATATTCCATTTAAATCAATGTGAATATCAAATCAGTATTCTTTGTTTGCAACAAACTCAAGAACTTGTGGAAGACAGGTCTTTTAAACCTTTTTTCTTTGTTTGATCAATACAAGGGAGCGTCAGAGGCAGAGATCAAACGTCAGTATCGTAAACTCAGCAAGTTACACCATCCTGACAAAGAGGGCGGCGATGCGTCCATGTTCATGAAGATCGCTAAAGCTCATGCTGCGTAAGTCAACTACATGTACTGTAACTCCTTTTATATATGCCACACAAATAATCTCTCTGTGCCATATTGTATTTTTCAAGGAATAGATATACCAAATGATTCAAGATTATTTAATTGTTTCCAGTTCAAGATTAATAAATACCAGTAATACTAGGGCTGTCATAATGCTAAGCAAGACCAGAAAAAAAATGGGTAAATTTGCAAAGCCATTTTGTCGCACAAGGCAATCCTTCCGTCAATTTTTGCCTTTTTTTGTTCGTGCAAAATTGTTCATGTGGCAAACAGGCAACTGTGCAGAGAGGCAAAGAGAGCAAACGAAGTGTTAATTTCAGTATGCTTTATCTAAATCATTTAGAAAACACTTTAGACTTTGGAATACAATGAAATCCATCTTAGTGGCCACCTCTCTTTAGTTCTCATGTACTTTGTCTCCCTCAAGAATGAAATGTGTGCTGTAGAGCCTGTCTAGAGTAGCCTCTTGTCGATGCCCTCGCGCTGTTGGAGTCTCTAAATTCTGACGAGCGAAGCGAGTCAGAGAAACCGAGGCGCTTGCGCGGAGGGCCTCTTGACAAGTGATCTGGATTTCTTATGTTTTACTTTGTTTGGCGAATATTCCGACCCAGCAGAGTTCGGTGAAAGTCATCCAATCAGAGAGAGCTACTATGACGTAATATCTACCGCTCTGTGCGAATTCCCTCCGTGAGAGCGAGACTGGCCGCCTAGTTGTAGTCTGCAAGCACAAACCCTGGTCAGTCGTAAAAGAGAGTGCGCACTATAAGACTACCATATGCCACGTACTATAGCTGCTCCTGACCTATATTGGTACAACCAGTAGGTACCAGGAGATAGCTGGGCTAGGCTTCTCTCAAGGCACAATGATTTTTTGATAAAGTGTCAAATTAGGGTCTGTGCTTGCAGACTAGCCTAGTTGGGCAATCCCGAACACACACGTACACACACAATCGCTGCGGTCTAGACATGCATAATTCAGTAGGAAATCGGGTCTCATGAATATATAATTCAGATCACTTGTCAAGAGGCCCTCCGCGCAAGCGCCTCGGTTTCTCTGACTCGCTTCGCTCGTCAGAATTTAGAGACTCCAACAGCGCGAGGGCATTGACAAGAGGCTAGTCTAGAGTGGTCACTATCTCTGTTTTCCATTAGGTGGCCTTAGTAGACAGGTTTGACCTGATTTAGATTTCTCTTTGAGTCAGTGTATAATATATGTGGAATTTATGTCAGGAATATTTCTGAAAATCAATTTGATTAAAAAGTTGGCAAGGAGGGGTAGAAGTTCATCTGTTGAAGAAGATATGAACATTAGTAAATGGAACAATTAAACTACTTTATATATTTCAAAGTGAAACCTAACAGAGGGTACCTGCAATAATACCTCTGTTACGATATTCAGGTGAAATTTGTATGAAGGATATGGGTCAGTGAAAGATAGGAAGATGAAGAAAAATGAATTACCGGTAGATGGAAGGTAATTTTGCCCTTCAAACAACTATAATGAGCTTTGTCATTGAAGTATGAAGAAATATATGTATCTTTGAACACTATTTTGTCCGACAATTGTAACATATGAAATTATACACAAATGGAATAGTGATATATCACTGGGATAAGCCTTGGAAAATGCAATTTTGTTTTTATTTTGTTTAAATCTCTTTCAACCCTTTTGTGGTTACCGGTGTTGTTTTTATACAGGCTAACAGATGAAGAGTCGAGAAGGAACTGGGAAGAGTATGGCAGCCCTGATGGAAGACAAGGTAATGAACATCCCTAAAAGATAGTATCTTGCTCTAAGAACCTCTCTAGGCCAGACGGACGTTAACTCTGTGTCAAAGGATTTTTCATTTCATTTATTTGTAGAAAACATGTAAAACACGAACATGTGCTTTTTGATAAAATATGAATGAATTCACAGAAAACAAACATACAAACAAACAAGTAATTGACAAAAAGGGGGAAAATGATGTGAAAACTAGTACATGGATGGGGAAAAATAAAAGCAAGGTTGCTTTTCAGGATTATTGCCCAGATTATTAATTGTGTTGGAGGGGGGGGGGCGGGTCATTTAAGATATTATAGTTACTTGGCTAGGTAGAGAATTGCATATTGAACTAATTTGTTTTTTAAATTTTGTTTTAAAGCTTTATATTGTGTGATTGTGGGAGCATTCACATGATTATTGCAATAAGTGAAATTAACATTTATCATATATGTTTTTCTCATTGTATGCCATACTGTTATATTTTTACAAAACACAGTAATGTAATTTAAAACATGGTCACAAATTGGCACAATTAATGTTTTCCTTGCAAGTGAGTGATATTAATTGATATCAAACCTGTTAGTAAAACGGCAGTAGTTGTGAAAACTTGTGTAAAAATGGCATATATCTTTTAAAGCCTTAAAATATGGATATTAATATTCTTCCTTTCCTCCTCTAGCCACAACTTTTGGTATTGCTCTGCCTGCCTGGATTGTGGATCAGAATAACTCTGTATGGGTAAGTGAACTTCAGAGACTTACATGATATCGTTATTTTGGAGCCAAAATGGTGGTAACTCACATACTGTACAACTCAAAGTTATTGCCCTTCTTCCTGACTGGCTCCAAACAAATGATATGACAAGTGGCAAATGGGATATTCAATTTTGAAATTTGTGTGAAACTTTTTTTTCCAATGACAGTGGGAAGGTGCACACATGTGAGTTATGTATTAATAGGTGAATGTGGTTTGTGTCTTAATGTAAATAAGGCCAGGGATTAGTTGGCTTTCAAAATTTCCAAGTGATCAAGTTATAATCCCTTTGCTTTTGATTAGGATAATATCAAGTCTTGGCGAGGCTAAGGGAAATCCTTTAAAAAAAGATGAATACCGTTTCTTTCTTTCGCAAGACGTTACACCTTCACTGTCTTCTCATATGACAGCAAGGGCTACAGTGTACATCAATCAATTCATATTTTCATGATTCATTGTATTGCCATACTTGCCAGGTTATTTCAAGAAAAGACAAATTTTAAACAAAATATTGGAATGAAAAGGAATTGAATCATGTCAAAAGCAAGCTGTTATATGTAAAGCTGTCATGGTGGAGTGGTTTAAGCACTTGACTTGAAATTTAAAGGTCGTTGGTTCAATCCCCGACACGACACTAATGTCTTTTGGCAAGGCATTAATCTATATTTGCTACTCCATACCCAGGAGAGAAATGGGGACCCTGTAGGATGAAAAAAGCCTTTGTGTAAGTAATTGCCATATGCCCTCATGGTGACCATAGGGTAGAAATATTCCCCAGGGAGTGGAGATGGTACAAATTGTGCGCCAATGAATCTGATGACGGGTAACTATATCTGTAAAGTGCTTAGAGACTGTATTTTGTATGAAGCGCTGTATAATTCCAGATTATTATTATTATACAAAAGATTGAAACCGATTTACAAGTTTCTGATTCATCATCCAAGAGTGAGTTAGACACAGCTTCCCTAATACTTAAAATCATCTTTCCCTTCTCGCCTTGTTCTCTAGGTGTTGGCTGCATATGGATTAGCCTTCATGGTCATCTTGCCAATTGCTGTGGTGAGTATTTAACCCATCAGAGTACATCGTCAGTGAAAAAAAATGTTATAAATGAAGTCACATTTTATATGTAGGTTGCTTGATTGGTTCAACTTGGTATTTCATAAGGCTTGTTTCACATTTGATGTAAACTGCAGCGGTTTTGTAATGATGTCGTCAGATGCGAGCAATAGGTGTGACAAATGCGATTCACTGATCAGACTATTGATATAAATATTAGGATCAAATACACCATGCAATAATGTTTTATTGCTGGGATGCATGGCATTACTATAATGTTCAGTACAAAATATGTGTATGGAATGTGAAAGAGATATATGCTGATAAGAATAAAGTAAACTAATAGAAATATAAGCAGTGATTTGCTCGAATATGAAATTAAATGATTGTTATTGTTTTTCTTATCAGGGTACATGGTGGTATAGATCCATCCGCTACACTGCAGTAGAGATCCTGATAGACACCACACAGCTTTTCATGCACTTTCTCTACAAGACCCCTTGTATGAACCTCAAACGTGAGTACAATCAAATTAAAGGTTCCACTTTAATAAAGGTAAAGACCAGTATTGGAAATGCCCCCCTCTCAAAAAATGAAATGGAAGCTCTAATTACCAATCATGTGAAAGAATATGTTTTGAATAATACATGATGATATAAAGTTAACCGGGAAACCGCCTACTAATTGATATATTTGGCAAATTAGTTTATCTATTGGTATGTGAGAGATAAAAACGCATGTGTCGCGGACGTGTGCGTAGTCCCATATACATCTTTCTGTGTACAGTGCTTGTAACTTTATGAAGACTGGGCCAAATTTCTTATCATTTAGATGATTCCAGAACCTTGCAGTACATCTTTGCTAGATGATCAACCTTTTCTTACGATTTCACAACGTTTCTTTCACAATGCAATCGCATAACCATAACTGGTCTTTATCTTTAGCAGAATGTTGCATCATTAAGAAAAGATTTCTATGAAACATCCAAAATGGTTTACCTGTGTGACAGTTTCAGTGTGTATTAAAGTCTAGACATCTTCCTCAGATTTGTGCGGGCAGACTGAAGTTAGCTGCTAGTTTTCTGATCGACAAAAGATGCCCTTTTGGCTTTCACCGCGTCATAGATCTATGCCAGATCCCCCCACCCCACCCCCTGATGAAATCGTTCAGCGGTCAAGAGTGTTGCATTGGTTGGGTTGATAGGAACCCAATGGTAGAGGCTTAGAATCCCTGCCACAACACTAAATAACCTTTGGCAAGAAAACTCATCTACATTTGCCACTCTCCACCCAGGCGAAGTAAAAGGGTACCTGATGGGTAGAATTTATAGAAGGCTTGAGCACCTCATCGTACATGTAGCTCTGCTAAAGCCAGGGTAATAATTGACTTAGCAAACCACAGTGGAAATTATTGTATAGTGGCAACATCTCTGTATGAAAATGTATACAATCGTATTTTTGTTCAGCCATTAAATTGACTAGCAGACAATTTTACTAATTTGTAGAAGTCTTTCCCAGCATTATTTTACTTAGGGAGAATGTGCTGGAATATGTATTTAATGTTGATTACCTTCTGTGATGTCTTCCACGTTACAGGTGCCTTGATGATCTTATCTGGATCCTTTGAGTTTGAGAAGAGTCATAATAGTCAGGTCGTCAACAGACCAAGCGACAATGAAGAGCTCCCTCCTGTGAGTATTATATGCCAATGTTACTTTTCTCTGCCTGGGTTTGTTTTCAACACCACAAAGGAAAGTTGATAGAGCAACATATTTTAAACCTGTCTACACTAGGTTGGCCAGGAGGGATTAGATCTCTCTGCATTGTCACTGACATCACTCTCATCACTCTCATCAAATCAGCTCTCAATTAACATAATGAAAAGGGGACCATGGGGGATCAACAGTACCGCTTAGGCATTGTTGGCTATATTGAGGGCACAAGTAACTACAAGTAGTGCAGTCCCGCTTTAAAGTTTGCTTTCACAAATGAAGCCTCAAATTGGCAAATTTTAACTAATGTCAGTCATTACTGTAGGAATAAATTCAAACAGCAGGAGTTTGCAATGGAACAAAATTATAATCACCAGATTAATAGTTTTGATCTTTACAAAGAAATACCGGGTATTATTTGTGCCCTATAAAATTCATGTCTTATTTATTTCTTTTGGGTTAATTATAACACTTCCCCTTGCTATTTTCAAACTGTTAAAGGCAGATATTTGCACAATTCAAATACTGATGTGAACTTACATTAGTTCATCCAAAAAATATTTATTGATTTAATCATCTTTAATTGCGATGCATTTCTCAGCTTATTTGGTCATGCAACAAAACTGTAGACAAATTGTTACAAATATATGATTCGGAATATGCTAATATGCCAAGGGGTTGATCAAGTGGATAGTAATAAACCATGAATGATCGGATCAAAGGTAACAAATCGTCTTGATATTTTGATTGTATTAAGATTTTAAGTCGTTGGTCAGGATAATGTAAGATAATTGCCCCGACCCAACAGATTTAAATTATAGTTTATTATTCTCTTCCGCAGCTTGTGAGGGAGTTTTCAAATGACATTGGTTTGAAGAACAAGGAGCGGCCCTTCTGCTACCCGTACAGTGTGAAGGTCCGGACACTGATATACGCCCACCTTGCTCGGGCAGACCTACCCCCTAAAACCTTGGATGTCGGTGAGTATCTGCTTTGGATGATTCTAACTTACTGAACCCCCAGGTTTTTCAATCATGGTATTGCTTCTTGTGAATCTTGTTGCAGATATTGTCATCAGGGATTACAGTTTTCAGGCTCTTGTCTGATTTTAGGCCCTATCATCTTTTAGTTCCAGGCCTTTCCAAGCTTCATACTGCACAGAATGTATGGCCTGTATCTTGTGCGGGTCTCTTCTCAAGTCAATTAGGGCAATCCAACTGGTTCATTTTGTTGCAGATATTGTTCCAAGTTATTCGACTATACAATTTAAGAACCCTTTTTAGATTTTGGCAAAGAAAATCATCCCTTTCTTTGTCCAAACGTAGCTAAATTACCAAATTTAGATAATTATAACAACTTGTTTATTTGAAAGGGTGAAGCTTTATTTGGTGTATGTAATCTCACAAAGTTAATTGTTTATACTACTATATGAGTGTTTGACGTTATATATTGTAACATCTTACAATATATTTAATGTGACTTCCATCATAAACACTGGACTCAACACTTTACCTATCCCTGAACCTTAGCCTAACCTAGTATTGACTTGCAACCCATACAAAACCTAATGATTTTGATGGGATAACTCTTGAAACAAATGTTGTGAGAGCGATTGATTGATCAGCATGATACATTGTGAACCTTGTGTGATTGCTTTTTGTAGATCGTCTCTACGTTGTGAAGAAATGCCCTCAGCTCATTCAGGAGATGGTCAACACAGCAGCACAACTCATCTTCTGGCACAAAATTAACAAAGGAAATCGTGAGTTGATAATTCTTTCTTTATTATTTAAATGAGAAATCAAGGAAACCGGGCAGCATTTAAGGTAAATACAAGTTCACTGACAACCCATATTACATTTAACACTCGTTTCAATGGAACTTCTCTAAACTTGTATTTATGACAATTTTATGTAATAATACCCTGGAGTTCTTAGTCGGGAAGCGTGATCCCTGTGTGGGTCTTAAAACAAGTTCTTGAGTAGTGAATGTGTCATGGAAGGAACTCATCCATTCAAATGTTATGTTAAGGTGTGTGAAATGAACAGATATGTCAAATTGGATCACTGAAGTAAACTCTTGGATTAAACAATTGAAAAAATCCCTAAATGTAATGTGCAAAAAAGTTCTTGAGTAGTGATTGTGTCTTGGAAGTAACTCATCCGTTCAAATTCTACGTTCAGTTGGTTTAAAGGAACAGATATGTCAGATGGGGTCGGGGGGACCAAAACTGAAGTAAACTCTTGGATCAAACATTTAAAATAATCAAGTATTATCATTCTTGAAATTTGATTTTTACTTCAAAAATGTGAATTATGAATCAAAATATCAACCATGTGTAGCTATATAAGTAATAATAATAACAATTCTTTCGTTTCTTCCACTGCTGCTGTAAACACTAACCCAATCAATGATAGAAATGATTGAAATTTAAATTATATTATCACTTATTAAATGTTTCTTTCTCTTTTGTTTTCTTCCAGCTTCCAAAGAGCCAAGGCTGGAGACGATAGAACACATCATGAAGCTGAGTCCAATGGTTGTACAGTCCACATGGGATAAGTCCCCACTCATGCAGCTTCCACACTTCACAGAAGAGACACTAAGACTGTGCCAGTCAAAGAGGGTAAGCAGGGGCAAGGCTTCTTGACAGGATCCATGGCACACTTGATGATCAGAGGGGCGTTTCACAAAACTTGTCATCAGTGACAAATGACAGTTTTCGTTATAAGCTACTGAAATCCTTGCTTCTGATTGGTTATCAACAGATTTGTCAATGATTTTTGTCATTTGTCATTAAAAAAAGAGTTTCTGAAACGGGTCCTTGATCAAACATGAGGAACTCGACCTAAACGGTCTGGAGGAGAGGGGGCAGGGAGGGCAACAACGTAGGGATTGCATGGATTAGTATTACTATGATTCAATTAATACAGTATGTAACACATTTAATGATCAGATTAAACATGGAGGAAAGAGAGGAGTGAGGGGGGGGGGGAACAAGAAGGGACTGGTGGGATTAATGATATCATGAATGTAAAGGGCCTTGAAACTTCCACTTATTGCGTTATGTAAATGCGTTTTAATCAGTATTATTGAAAGAGAGACAGACAAAGAGAAAAAAAAAAGTCAGAGACACAGTCAGAGATATACACAAAGATTAGGATGAATACAAATTCACAAACCTAGAATGAAAGAAAGTGAGAGAAAAGATATGATAATAAAGCCAAAGAATTATAGGGGGGGGGGGGGGAATTCCCCCTTTTTATGGGATTGCTTGTGTGATATCTCAACTGCCTTGAAGGTCCTGTTTTCCAGGCAAAATACAATAGAAAAATGGCAAAATAAAAGGGAGGAGGTAAAAGGGGGGAAATGTGGATGCCGATGGGAATAGACATAAACATATTTATTTGTTATATAATCCTTCTTGCAATTAAGTTTGCTAAATTACTTCCTTTTTTTCTTCCAATTACAGAAAAATGTTAAAAGTATATCACAGTTCATCAAGCTGAAAGATCTTGACAAGAGGTAAGTTACATGGATCACAATTAGTTTAAACCTTAGTATACAACCCTTCTGTGCTGCCAAGTTTGTGAATGATAATAATGATTTTAAAAATAATGATTATAATAATAATAATAATGATGCTAATAATAATATTGATGATAATGATAATGCTAATAATAATAATCTGGATTTATACAACGCTTAAAGGCACACTGCCATACTTGTAGCTACTTGCTCCCTCTATATAGAAAACTTCCCGAATCGGTGCCTGTTGGTCCCCCATAATCCTCTTTTTCTTATGTTAAATGAGAGCTGAGTTAATGAGATAGCCACCTGTCACAGTAACCTTGATGGCTCTCTGTGTGGTCTAATCCCTTCTGGCCCAGTAGTGGTGACGGTCTTTAATTCAAAATGCAGTCTCCAAGTGCTTTACAAATATCATTACCCTGGTCATCAGATTCATTCGCGCACAATGTGCACCATCTCCACTCCTTGGGGAGTACTACCATATAGTCACTATTACTTACACAAAGGCCTTCCTCATCCTACCAGGTCCCCATTTCTCTCTTGGGTATGGAGTGGCAACTGTAGATCAATGTCTTGCCAAAGGAGATGATCCTGTAAGACCAAGAGTTGATCAGATGAGAGTCGGTGTGGAGTCTGCTTGGCAGTGTCGCTGTTAGGCAGTGTGATGTCTTTATTAATTGATGATATTTTTGGCTCTTGCGTACAGAGAAAGGAAGAATTTACTGAGATGTAATGTAAAGGAATAGTATTAATGATGTCTCTGTCTAAGCCAAGTGTCACGTTTAAGGATTCAGACATATTGTTTTGCTGTTTTTGCAGGTATATTCTTCGTCATCTAGATGAAAGGCAGTACCAGGATGTGCTTAACGTCTGTGCTAGTCTGCCTCTGATAGATGCAGACCTTAAATTAGAAGGTAGGAATTACTTTAACTATACAATCTATCAACTGAAATTTAAAAAATCAGTCCATTAGTGTTAAAGCCCCACTGTCCTACTTGTAGCTACTTGCTCCCTCTATATAGAAAACTTCCCCAATCAGTGCCTGTTGGTACCCCATGATCCTCTTTTTCTTATGTTAGTTGAGAGCTGAGTTAATGTGATAGCCACCTGTCAGTGACCTTGCTGTGTGGTCCAAGCCCTTCTGGCCCAGTAGTGGTGACAGTCTTTAAAGTAGCATACAGTGTAAGGGGGAAGTAAAAGATAATAGAAATATTAAGATTTCATAGATGTATTTTAAAAGAAATGGGCAATTTTAGATCATTTCTGTTTTGATAAGTGTTTTTTTTTTTAAATACTTTATTTTGTGCAGATTTACTAACTTTTAGATAGCACACTATCTCCTTTTATTCTTGACTTCATTACTTCTTACATATTGTCGTTGCCCTTTATCATATTAATGTAGCATGATGATATACATGTAGTTACCCACTTGATCAATTTTCTTTTAATTTGGAGACTGAATGAAACTATGTATGATTTGTTTCAGTTGTCGATGACGATGACAAGGCTACGATAACAGCTGGAGCCTTTGTGACTGCCACAGTGTATCTCAGGAGAGATACATTTACAGTAAGTACCACACTGATGACAATGATATTGATAATAATGATGTTAATGATAATAGTGATGATAATAATAATAGTCACATTTGTGTAAGAGCTAGATACTACATTGGAATTATAGTCCCCGATTCATCAGATTCAATTGCTAATCCACACATGCCAGTGTACATGCTCCAATCTTAGGGAGTATTCCGGCCAAGTGCCATTTTTCAGGCGCACACATGCCAATAATCCAACATCATTGAGGTTTACATCTTAATACTGGGTACCCATTTGACATCTGGGTTGAGAGTGGCAAATGTAGATTAATGTCTTGCCAAAGGTCATCAGTGTCATGATGGGACTTAAACCATGAACCATGTGATTTCTGGTGTGATGACATATCATGGTCTAGGACTGGATGAGGATGGTATACCACTTTTGCTTTTAAATATTTTGTTTTTCCTACACGCAGTTATTTTTTAAAATATTTTTTTAGGGGGGTTGTTCATGTTTACAAAAATGCTTAAAGTTTGTCTGAGGTAAGATATTGTGAGTAATGTATCTAAAATGTAGATGTATATTGAGTACCATTCCTGGAATCATATTGCAATATTCTTCACATACTGCAAATCCCCCTCCTCCCCCCCCCCCCTTATTTTTTCTCTGGTTTATGTTTAGAGACCATATCTTGTTTTTTGTTTTGTTCTTGTACAGTTACAATCAGATGGTGATATAAGCAGTAGTAACATGGCTATAGAAGCAGGCGGCGACACAGAAGATTTAAAGACAGAAGAGAAGGTGGGTACTTCTAGAGTCTTAAAGGGAGAGGGCCGTCAGTTATATACGTTTTTTATATCTATTGATGATTTTATATAGTCTATTATCCTCACATCTGTTTAAACCCTTTAAAATTCTAGATAGACAAAAAGAAGTAAGAAAGTCAGCTAACAGGATGGAGTTTAGAAGGATAAATAAAGCATTACCTATTCTTTTTTGGACAAAACCTGTACAATCAAATTTAATGAATCGTTTGAAGAGAGGCAAGGAAATGAATAATATGCGATCAGCATTTCACTGCTTTAGTATCAGTCTAGTTGAGAAGAGGACTATGCCAAAAACAGGAAAGTTCAAATGATAACTTATATGATCATGTACTGATTGTGACTTTCTTTGATATTTCTAAAGGATTCTCCATCTGTCAACAAAAATAAGCCCAAGGCGTGGGAGAAGCAGCAGAAGAAGAAGAAAGGAAAGACAGGTGGTGGTGGAGGGGGTAACAAGCCCAAACCCAAGAAGCAACAAGAGAAAGAAAAAGAAAAAGAAAAGAAGTCTGCCACGAAGCCTGCCTCTTTGACAGCTAACAGCACTCCTTCTAAGGACAGCACTAATGATGATAACCTTGATGTCATGGCTGTGAGTATCTTATCTTACAAATGACATGTGTCAAATAATTTGTAACATTGTATCATTGGATTCCGCACATCGAGATACAGGTTTACTTGGGTTTCGCTGGTCGTTAACCTGTTACATGCAATGGATTTAGATACAGGACCTGCAATTATTTTAAGTTGAGCTAAGCATGAGCTGGTTATCTTTCCACTCTAAAATTTTAATGTTATCAGGTGCTAAATGGTGCAACATAATGGCTTGTTCAGAGATGAAATCACTGCATATTTTTGTTTACTTAAAGATAAAGTCGAGTTCTGGTCATGTGATTGCATTGTGAAAGAAACGGTGTGGAATCGATAACAAAAAAGTTGATCATGTAGCATATAAGTAGTGGTGTGTACTGCATGGTTATGGAGTCATCAAAATCTATTCATTTTACACGTTAAAGAAACGCTGCAGCTTTTTTGCAGTGGTTTACTGTAGTGCTGTAGCCGAACCGCCGAACCGAACGGAAGTTCGCCGAACATGGCACTTCCGAACCGAACCGAACCGAACGCAAAGGCCTGGGTCGGATGTTCGGCAAAAAAAATGTAAACGTTTTTGCAAGCTAATAAACTTTTCATTTTGTACCTAATTTTCATGTTATGATTGCTCATATTATATTTACTTTTTTCCCATTTTCCGCCCTTGTTCACTGGCGCCATTTAAATCCCAAATCCTGACCACGCTACGTCGCGATCGCAAGCCATAAACAAGAATACATGTGTGTGATCAAAACAAGTTCAGCTCAATTTGCTCAAACCCATTGAACAAAAAAAATAATATTTTAATTGTAACCATATCGGACAAATTTTACAATATCAATAATGAAATAAATATATATTGTAGTATGGTATTTATTTATTCAGGAAAAATAGGGATTTTATATTTTTCCTATTGAAAATAAAAACTTATAAAAAACAGTTCTTGGCGAGCCTGAAAGTCTCTATTCAAGATGGCACCTTTTATGACTCTTAACATTAGACAACAACCGTCTCGGAAAATCTTTTAAAAATATCATTTATCGACAAATTGAAAACATGATTCTTTTAAAATTGAAAATAAAACACGATTCAAGACGGAAATACGAATGTAAGTAGTATTTTTCTTCACAAATAATTACGTTTAGAGCAGTTTTTTAATGTGAAATTGGTGCTGGTCGGAAGCAGTGTGCAGAAGTCCTCCGTGCCGGTCGGGCCCGGCAGGGCGGGCGGCCTGCCCAGTACCGACCGCCGTGGCTATAACGCTGCTTGCTATTAAATTACCGAACCCCGAACCGAACCAAGTTCGGGTGAAAAATTGCCGAACTCTGCCGAACCGAACCGAACACGAACATAGCGTCTGACTTACAGCACTAGTTTACTGCATCATATCTTAACAAGCCTTAAGTATTATGTTTGTTGGGAATTCTTCTAAATCATAAATCACAAATTTTACCCAAAATCGTTAATGAGGTTTGCTTGACTTTGCACTAAGATTTATATATCAAGTGAATTTCGCATTTTCAGATAACAGATGAATATAAGACACACATTTTTTTCGTCCCTAGACATTTTGTTGAAATATGAACTTGTAGTTTAAACTTGTCGATGCAGCCATGCTGTAGACTAGTCTGTTCTGTTTCTTTCCATGCTTCCGAATGACCTTTGACATGTTTATGTTCTCATCCTCTTTGTGTGCAGGTTGATCAGGACGATGATAACGGGAGTGGACTGGACAGCGACGACGAGGCCAGCCAAAAGTCTGCAAGGTAATTTTTGTTATCAAACCAAACTCATTTTATCAAATGCATACATGCCAACTGTTCAGATTAAAGAGGAACATTCCTCTTTTTGGGAGAAGATAATTATCATTTGAATGCAGGTGTTCCTCTTCCTGTACAAATTTGTCTGTAGTATTGAATAGGAGAGTTAGGATTGTTCCTCTTTTTTTTTAAAATAGCATAATTTGTACAGATTTCTGATTTTCAAATGTTGGCATGTATGCAAATGAATGAGATATCTGATGACAGAATGTTGTGTTCTGATCCATTTGCTGTATGATGTACCTGTATGTTGGTATTTTTTTTCTCCTTCTGGTTCTCTTCTACTACAGTAATGATTTACTTTTGTAGTATTAGGACCGATGCCCTAAGAAAGTATGAAGTTTAATTCAGCAATATTTTATTAATAGCTAATGTACAGTATTGTTTAAAAGGGCAACTGGAAAGAAACATGTGAAATATGGTCTCACGTTGTTCTCGTAAGGAGAGATACATTTACGAGATCACTTTGTATTCTATGCATGATTTTGGATGAATCGTAGTGTAAATATCTACAAGGAATACTAGATAACAAACATACACTCCCCTACACTAGACCCTTCCACCCCAATTAGACCTGCCAACCAGTACGATTTAGTCGTATTTTGTACGATTTTTAGAAGCAAATACGACAGTACAATTTTCCTCAATAAAATACAATTTTCAACACAAAAAAAAAAAAAAAAAAAAAAAAAAAAATTGAAAATATATTTTTTAGTATGTGTGTGTGTGCCATTTTCTATGGCAAAATGCCCATTCTGTCCTGTAAAGTATCCTACAAGCATCTCACATCGGCAATTGGGGGATGTTCATTGGTTCATTGAACACAAGAGTCATGACAAAATCATGCATATTCAACCAATGATCCATACAAAATTTCTTCCCGTATGTAGAAACTGTAAGAGGCGTTGATCTGCGTAACAGTCCGTGTTTATTTTTAAGAATACAACTTTTGTCAGTAATATACAACTTTTGGGATTAAAGAATACAATTTTTGAACTCCAGACTTTGGCAGGTCTGCCCAATGGCTCCTAGTACATTAATCTTAGCGCTTCACTTTGAGACGGCGTATTGACTATAGCATATACACTCAGTACTCATAGGTTTTACATGTGTGAATTGCAGGTTACCATTGTTGACATTCCAGGATGGTATCTAAATGATTTCCTACCTCTCATTTGTCTAATATTTCACTTGAGGAAAATATTTACAGCAGCTTAGTAGCTCCCTATTTATAAAACATTTTGACGGAAAGCTTTGAGGCTTCTTACTGAAACTGTACATGACCGTTAAGTGATGCTCCCATGTACCAAGGTAATGATAGAATGCTTTTTTGTTTTTCAAAGTTAAAAGTAAATTTGTCTCTCTCTTTACTGTTCCAGTGATGAAGAAGTAATAGAGGATGCAGGAGAGGATGAGGAGGAGTGGGATGAACTCCAGTCTACTCTGACTAGGAAGGAGAAGGTCCTGGAAGGCATTAGTAAAGAATCTCATGAAGTTCACTCACCTTACTACCCAGAGGTATATATCCCCCTCCCTGCCCCCTCCCCTAATGACATTTCAACCTAGAGACTCCCAAATTATCCCATTCCCCTCGGTTTCATCCAGGGACAGCTTGGTTCCTTTTGAGAGTTTGATTACACAGTATGTACTTGGAAGGCGCTGTAGCTATTGACTTACTTGAAACAAGACTTTCCTGATGTACATTATAAATAATTCTCGCCCCCCCCCCTCCCTCTCTGTGATATTGAACCCTTTTCTTCACAAATATCTTTTACACTAAAGAAGAAACTAGAGTACTTATGAAATTTACTCCCCATCCTTTTTGGATGATGTAAATCCCCCATAATATTTTTGACCTGTACACACTTGGAGAATTTGAACCTTGTAGGTTTTCATGCTATTTCTACTAATGACAATTTAGTCTACCCAGGGAAGCCTCATCAGCTTCAATGCTCATCTTTGTGAGGGCCATGCAATTATTATCACCCCAGCAATTGCCAGGTACCTATTTACACCTGGGTGGAGAATGGCAAATGTGGATTAATGTCTTGCCACAGGACTTAAGTACCGGGCTGGGATACGAAACTAGAACCCTTAGATTGAGAGTCGAGTGGGTGAACCACTAAACGTTATGCCATGACACCTCCACATTCTCTCAATGAAGGAAGAAACCTGACAGAAGTTATTTTGACTTTCATGTACAGTAAAACCTGTCTATAAAGACAACCCAATGGAGATGAGAAAGGTGGTCTTTATGTACAGGTTCCTTTAGTACAGGTTTCAATGATAAACCATTTACAAGGAAAACAAATAATGTGGTCTTTCTATACAGGTGGTCACAAAGGGCAGGTTTGACTGTATTTTTCTTTGTTCTGTCTCCTTATCATCCATCAGGTGAAGCATGAGTGGTGGTGGGTCTACATAGCTGATAGGAAATCACACAAGCTGGTCACATCACCAACCATGGTCTATGATCTCAAGAATAAGAAAGAGGTAAAAACATCTGATCTCTCTGTCTTTGTATTTTTTTCAATCTCTCTCATCCCTCTATAATTTGTCTCTTTTCCTCGCATTATGCACTCTTTCTGATTTTCTTACTTTCCTATTGATCTTTCTTTCTGTCATTCTTTGTCTCTCCTGCTCACTTATTCTTTCTCTCTCTCTCTCTCTCTCCCTCTTTTATCCCTCTTTTAGTCTCTTGTGATCAATTGCTTGTGTGTTCTTGCTTAACAGTATTTTGTAGTTGATTTTCTTTGATAGCCAGAAGGTCATTAACAAATATAGTTGACAACTAAACTATTTGTACCCTTGGAAATTTGATGTTTTTAGAGTTTTTTGTTCTGCTTTCAGCAGATGCTTTGCCATGAGTGGAGGGCTGTTTTTTGGTTTTGTTTAGCCTTTGATACATCCCTAGCTAATAACCTGATTGATTTTGTCTCGCCTTCCATAGGTTCAACTCCAGTTCCGAGCCCCATCCAAGGGTAACTACCAGTTCTCTCTCTGCGTTCGTTCAGACTCCTATCTGGACTTGGATCTTATCAAATCAATCAAGGTAGGTCCCTGAGGAGTGTAGTATGTGCGCATATCATCTTCATTGTACCTTTAAAACCACTTCAGCATCATAAATATCATCACCATCATCATCTTCCTTATGTTTAGCATCATTAACTTCATCACAATCACAGCCATCACCGTCATTACCATCTTCATCATCATTAATATCATCAGTACCATCATCACAATCAACACCGTCATCAATATAATCATTAACTCCATTACAAACATTGTCGTCACCATCATTGGCATCAGTAGCATGGTTACCACAACTATTAAACATCAAGATCATTACTACCACCAACATCATCATCAATAAAAATCACTTCCACCACCATCGTTGGTGTGATTGCCATCTTCATTTTCATCATCATGATCTATCTGTCTGTTGAAAGAATGGAGTGACACAAATAATGAATCAGCACTGTCTTGCCATGCCTGAAGAACCTTTTCTTTCACTTGCGTACCATAAGGAGGACATCAAGCAAGCAATCATGTAAAGAGTAGTGTCAACAATATATATCAAATATTTGTATTTCTTTGTAAACTGAATTCGATTCTTCATGCAGCTATGTTTTGAATATATTTACTCTTCATATGCCACTCAACTAATGTCCCTGTCCCACAATATGGGCCTATATATCATGGGAAAGATATACAAAGAGCTACAAGATTATTTTAATGTTTCCGGCGCAATATAAAACAATGCTAGTGATAAAAGGGTTGGCATCAAGGCAACGTCATGGCTCAAAGGTAGAGCTGTGGTCTCGTAAAAGAAGGGCCCTGGGTTCAAAACCAAGTTGATGCGCTAGTGCCCTTATGGTAAAGCATTAATCCTCATTACCACGTCCCTGTCGGTCCCCTGGTTGCTTCCTTAAAAGCATACACTTCCTTTCTTAGCAGTCAGGTTAAACAAACCATCAAGATAATCAAGACTGGAAACGGGTAATTTTGCAAAGCTATTATGTTGCACTAAGCTAACCGCCCGTCGATTGGTGCCTGTTATTTTGCGCAAAATTGTACATGTGGCAAACAAGCGACAGTGCAGAGAGGCAAAGAAAGTAACCAACGTGTTAAAGTCCCACTGTACTACTTATAGCTACTTGCTCCCTCTATACAGAAAACAGTGCCTAAGCGGTGCCCATTGGTCCCCCATGCTTCTCTTTTTCTTAACCCTTACTGTACTGGGGGGGGGGCCTGGGAGGCCCCCCCCTCGACATTTTCGGAGATCGCGCCGCAACCGCTTGGAATTTTGAATTGTCGTTTCATGACTTTTTTCCCTTAAGTCTTGCGCACATTTTGATACCATTTTCGTCAAAATCGGACATACCTGTAAGGTGTTACATAACAATTAGTATGCGCATGTCATCAAAAAAGTGCTATAATTGCATATATTCATGTACAAGCAGAAATGTGAAGATATGAATTGATATCAAATTGCTTTTATATGTTTCTCAGGGTAACTTGATGTATTCCAGAACAAAAGAATACATAAGAAATAAAACAATAGATATAATAAGAAATAAAAAACAATAAAATACATAAGAAAATAAATATTTGAAAATCGCATCAAATTTGCATAAATTATCATTATTAATTACATCAAATAACTATTTTGTATTAGAAAAGAAGTTTCGTATGAATAATGAGTTTCAACATTCAAAAAGTGGAGTCTGACAATTTTTTTAATGATTCTAGTTCCCTAAATATAGTTCCAGATTTGATATTCATGAATGCGTAATTTGCGTATTCATAATTTATGCAAATTAACCTATGCATTTTCAAATATCATAAAAATAATGAAACCTCATGAATTTGAGATGAAGGAAACATTTATTCAATACATTTTCAAGATTCTTCACAAGTCTACGGACAAATATGTAGAGTTTTCTGTGAAATGCATAAAATTAGCATTTTGAATAATTAATTAGGCTATAACGACAAAAATTTGCATAATAGGAAAAAACTAATTGTACCATCTTGTTCCTTACGTAAATATCTACAAATATGCAAATTTTCGTGTTCATCGGACATCCGACGGCCAAGATCATAGGGGGGGGCCTCCGAGGCCCCCCCCCCCCAGTCAGAGGGTGATCAAAATAGCCCAGTACAGTAAGTTAATTGAGAGCTGAGGTGGTGAGATAGCCACCTGTCAGTGACCACGCTGGGTGGTCTTATCCCTCCTGGCCAAACTAGAACAGATGGGCTTTAAATGAACTATTTCCCCATCACTCGCTTACCACTAGGTTGACGTGAAGGAAGCAAAGAAGGTGGAGGAGCACCATCCGCAGTGGGACATCTCTGACGATGAGAAAGAGGACGATGCAGAGGACAGCGCTGTCTCTGATTACACCACTGATGATGAAGAGAGTGACGATGAATAGATTCAAGGAGATCCTCGTGCAAGGCGCTGGCTGCAGACTAGAGATGGGCATTATCAGGCGAGAGACATCACCTTCTTCTCAGTCAGTTGGAGATTGTTTGGACAGGCCTGTTCACACTGTGAACTCCTTTTCCTTGGGCATGTAGTGACCCGGCATATGTGAACAAGCCTTCAAAAGCATATTTAACTTTTGAAAAATATGTGTCGAAAAATCAATCTAATAGGAAGCATTATTGTTTGGATAGTTTTTTATGATTACTTTTGTCAATATTAGTACCATGGCACCCATACAAATTTTGTTGAAAGTCACAGTCTATATTTTCCCTTGTCCCAGTATTAAATTGGGGTCACAATTTCAGGGATAATTGTTCATATAGTCTTTGCCAAATTACATGTAAAGATCATAATCTCATGTCCATTTCAAAACATCAAATGGTATGTTTTAACAAAGATGAAAAAGTGTGGATGAGTCAAGTAAGGAAATTACATAATTTCAATATATAGCAGAACAAAAATTAAATGTTGCTGCCTTTTTTAACCTATGGGAGGCCAATGTCAATCGAATCTTGTGTACATGTACTATTATAAATTCAAACATCATTCTGTTTTGGGGAGAATTTCTGCTTTGAGAGGTTTCGCTGTAAAGTGTGTCCCAGTAAACATGAAACCAGACTTCATGGCAGAAATTTTCCATCTTAATGAATAATTTCCTTGATGAGATATACATGTCTGAAAAGCTTTGCTTCTTTTCTTTCATTTGATGTACAACTTATTATTTATAACTCATGCATGATTGAATTAAAACTATGGAAAGTGGTGCTGCCAAAATTTCATTGGCACACACAAAATGCAGCTTTGAGTGAGTTTTGCTAGTAGTAAACCTAATTAATTTGAAAAAAAGAAAAATATTACATACAGTTTATAACTTTCTGTTGCTTTCTGCTTGTGGTAATGAGACGGGGGCTACAGTATTACAAGAGTTTCCAGATGTGTAGTAAGCATGCAATCGCTTGTAAAGACTCACCCGGAACTCATAAGGCATAAATTATATTACAAATTTGGTGCATCTAAAAGTGTAATCCAACAAAAATGTCAGTGTCTGGATAATTAGGGTATATGGTACCCTTTTACCTGTATACATGTTTATACTTTCTCTGTCTATGCAGTACAATTTTGATTTTCAGTTAATTTTTTCAGTTTTCCCTTTTGCATTCCGAGTTCCTATGTGGCAACTGCATTTTTTGCAAAACCCCCTTTGAAGGCCTGTTATTAGGAATAGGATGATTGTTTGAAATTAATTTCTAGGAAAGGTACTATCAAATTCAAGCATCTTGAAATGGACCCTGCACAGACAAAATATGAAGCGAAATTTCTCAAAAAGAATGAAACAAAATGTTGTTTTCATGAAGCTTTCCAATATGCATTTGTTAAAAGTAGGGTAGATTTGTGGCCTATTTAATGTCATTTTTTTAAGTTTGTGGATTGAATAATACCTTGTTAGATCGGTAATCTGAAAGGAATACAGTGTTTATTCTCAAATTGGATGGGTGCATGGGATTTATGTTACCTGATGTTCATTTTCTCTCTTTTGTAATAGCAAGTTATTTGTTTTATAACTTACATTCATTATATTATCTCTTAGTCTATATTGATTTTTTTCAATTATTTATAAGTGAACATTATCAAATCTATGTCTTAACAGTAAAATAATTTATTGATAGATAGTGTTGATGAAATGATATTTCATTCATGATTTTGCTAAATGTGATGTTTCTTCCAAGAATTTTCTACTCCCTAACTCCAATATATCAAGAATTAGATAAAGTTGATGTATTTAATATTGAATTAAAAAATTTAATGAAGTGTAGATAACGTGATAGAATTTATTCCCTTTCCCCATCCCTAAAACACAAAAAAGGGTGATTTTTTTTTTCTTCATGTAGAGATATGTCTTTATTTGTTTGCCTGATATAGTTAACATGTTCATATGTGTTCATATACATGTAAGTGCATTATTATGTATGTCTTTTTTCTTTTAATTATGTTTTTTGTGAAATGAAATTCTCTTATCCTTTTAAGACTATTATGTTGGCATTGCCTACTCTAAAGATTTCTAAGGGCTCATGCTTATATGTATCCTGTGCTTCACTGTGGAGAAGTTATACAAATACATTGTACATAGTACATTCTGCTATTCATGGAAGAAAGTTTATTTCTATTTGTGTTTACTTATACAATTTTTAGTTTTTTATGTATTAGGGCATGTCTCATCACATTACCAGGGTAGATTATCCAACACATGCATCATAAAGTGAATTACTCTTTGTTGCAGTAACCAGTTAATGCTGATGTTTTTGCCCCTGTTTCAGATGTCTTAATGTTTAACAAACTACATTGTTTAAAAATCATTCCTTCAAATTGTCGGTCAATTTCAAGTTGTAGTGGGTATAAGTACATGATATGATGTATATGATACAATTTTAGTATTTATGTTTGGTCTGTTTACACACCGAGCTCCAGCCAAAATGCGCTCTTATGTTGAGAAGTTATTGCACATTTAGTAACGAGCCCCACCACATTCTTGTCTACCCACTTTTATTTTATTTTGTTGTCGTAGCTTGCTCTTGTTTTTTAGGTTTTTTTAGGGGGTTTGAGGGGTAAATGAAAAGTGCGAGATGGAATATGGAAATTGAGCATAATATTCTTTTTTTGTTTTATTTATGTATATGTTTAAACATTGCTGAACAAACAGCATGCAACAGACAAAATATGCATTATCAATTGAGATCTGAAGTCCTAATAACTTTGACTACTCTTACTACACATTTTCTTTTCCTTTTCAGGTTTTTAAAGTGGCATTTAATCGTACATGTACATCTTCTATGATATTGTTGGTCATTGTATTTGTACATTACATTATCAACTGCCTAATCTCTCTCTCTGATTAAATGTTATGAATGCATCGATCTATCTTGACTGAAATGTGATGTTTTATTCTTTGATGTACCCTGTGGACTTCTGTGGTATATTGTTGAAGGCTCTTTTACGAGAGGTCCAAGGTTCAATCCTCCCATGGGCTTACGTCCTTGGGCAAGGTGCTCTACACACGCTTGTCTCTCTTGACCCAAGTGTAAAACAAGGGTACCTGGCAATCACTGCAGGAAGACCAGTATTGATACAGGTTAATAAGACCAAATAATGATGGTGATTGCGGTGAGGTGTTGGTGGTGATGGTGATGATGATTATAAGGTGAAGGATCGTGGTGGTTGTGGTGGTAACGATGATGGGTGATGATGAATTGAGGAGGAGGAGGAGCATGATCATGATGGTGAACATGATGATGGTAGGGGTGGTGGTGGTGATGGATGATAGTGGTAATGATGATTATGAGGTGAAGGATTATGGTGATAGTGATGATGATACGATATTAAGGAGGAGAATCATAATGGTGACGATAGTGGTGATGATGATGATGGGGTAGTGGTGGTGATTGTGATAATACCTGCAAGGATTATGAAATGATAAAATGATCATGCATAGTAATCAAGACCTTTTTCCTTTTTTTCTTCAAAAAGGGGCATTTTTCCGCGTTCATCAAAGTTAATGATTTGCAATAACAGATTTTGAATAGACAGGGGTAATAGACACCTTCTAGAGATGAAAAGATATGAAAATATGCCGTTTTGCAAATTCATAAAATTTTGGCCAAAATGTTTATCAAAAAGTGTCATTTTTCACATTTCATGAAATAATCTGCAATTTTATTTTTTGATCAAAGGGTCATTCACAACTTCTAGAGATAAAAAGATATGAAAATGGGCCATTTGCAAATTCATGAATTTCATGAAATGATCTGCAATTACATTTTTTGATTAGTCACAGGTCATACACACCTAGAGATGAAAATCGGCCATTTGCAAATTCATGAATTTTGGCCAAAAATGATAGGCTAACCCCTTGCCATTTTTGTCAAAAAATGTCATTTTTCACATTTCATGAAATGATCTGCAATTACATTTTTTTTATTAGACAGAGGTCATACAAACCTTTAGAGATAAAATGATATGAAAATGAGCCTTTTGCAAATTTATGAATTTGGGCCAAAAATGATAGGCTAACCCCTTGCCATTTTTGACAAAAAGTGTCATTTTTCACATTTCATGAAATGATCTGCAAATACATTTTTTGATTAGACAGAGGTCATACACACCTTAGAGATAAAAAAAAAAATATGAAAATGAGCTTTTTGCAAATTTATGAATTTTGGCTAAGAATGATGAGCTAACCCCTTGCCATTTTTGTCAAAAAGTGTCATTTTTCACATTTCATGAAATGATCTGCAATTACATTTTTTGATCCGACAAAGGGTCATTCACAACTTTAAGAGATAAAAAGATATGAAAATGGGACATTTGAAAATTCATGAATTTTTGCCAAAAATGATGGAATAACCCCTTGCCATTTATGTCAAAATGTGTCATTTTTCACAATTCATGAAATGATCTTAAATTACATATCTTAAAAAGAGAATAGTCATACACACCTTCTATAGATGAAAAGATATGAAAATGGGCCATTTGAAAATTCATGAATTTTGGCCAAAAATGATGGGCTAACCCCTTGCCATTTTGGTCAAAAAAGTGTCATTTTTCACATTTCATGAAATGATCTGCAACTTACATTTTTTGATTCGACAGAGGTCATACACACCTTTAAGAAATGAAAGTTATGAAAATTAGCCATTTGCAAATTCATGAATTTTGGCCAAAAATGATGGGCTAACCCCTTGCCATTTTGGTCAAAAAAAGTGTCATTTTTCACATTTCATGAAATGATCTGCAACTTACATTTTTTGATTCGACAGAGGTCATACACACCTTTAAGAAATGAAAGTTATGAAAATGGGCCATTTGAAAATTCATGAATTTGGCCAAAAATGATAGGCTTACCCCTTGCCATTTTTATCAAAAAAATGTAATTTTTCACATTTCATAAAATGATCCGGAATGACATCATTTTGATTAGACAGAGGTTATACACACCTTCTAGAGATGAAAAGATGTGAAAATGGGACATTTGAAAATTCATGAATTTTGGCCAAAAATGATGGGCTAACCCCTTGCCATTTTGGTCAAAAAAGTGTCATTTTTCACATTTCATGGAATGATCTGCAATTACATTTTTTGATTAGACAGAGGTCATACACACCTTAGAGATAAAAAAAAATATGAAAATAAGCTTTTTGAAAATTTATGAATTTTGGCTAAAAATGATGGGCTAACCCCTTGCCATTTTTGTCAAAAATGGTCATTTTTCACATTTCATGAAATGATCTGCAATTACATTTTTTGATCCGACAAAGGGTCATTCACAACTTCTAGAGATAAAAAGATATGAAAATGGGCCATTTGCAAATTCATGAATTTTGGCCAAAAATGATAGGCTTACCCCTTGCCATTTTTATCAAAAAAATGTCATTTTTCACATTTCATAAAATGATCCGGAATGACATCATTTTGATTAGACAGAGGTTATACACACCTTATAGAGATGAAAAGATGTGAAAATGGGACATTTGAAAATTCATGAATTTTGGCCAAAAATGATGGGCTAACCCCTTGCCAGTTTTGTCAAAAAGTGTCATTTTTCACATTTCATGAAATGATCTGCAATTACATTTTTTGATCCGACAAAGGGTCTTTCACAACTTCTAGAGATAAAAAGATATGAAAATGAGCTTTTTGCAAATTTATGAATTTTGGCTAAGAATGATGAGCTAACCCCTTGCCATTTTTGTCAAAAAGTGTCATTTTTCAAATTTCATGAAATGATCTGCAATTACATTTTTTGATCCGACAAAGGGTCATTCACAACTTTAAGAGATAAAAAGATATGAAAATGGGACATTTGAAAATTCATGAATTTTTGCCAAAAATGATGGAATAACCCCTTGCCATTTATGTCAAAAAGTGTCATTTTTTACAATTCATGAAATGATCTTAAATTACATATCTTAAAAAGAGAATAGTCATACACACCTTCTATAGATGAAAAGATATGAAAATGGGCCATTTGAAAATTCATGAATTTTGGCCAAAAATGATGGGCTAACCCCTTGCCATTTTGGTCAAAAAAGTGTCATTTTTCACATTTCATGAAATGATCTGCAACTTACATTTTTTGATTCGACAGAGGTCATACACACCTTTAAGAAATGAAAGTTATGAAAATTAGCCATTTGCAAATTCATGAATTTTGGCCAAAAATGATGGGCTAACCCCTTGCCATTTTGGTCAAAAAAAGTGTCATTTTTCACATTTCATGAAATGATCTGCAACTTACATTTTTTGATTCGACAGAGGTCATACACACCTTTAAGAAATGAAAGTTATGAAAATGGGCCATTTGAAAATTCATGAATTTGGCCAAAAATGATAGGCTTACCCCTTGCCATTTTTATCAAAAAAATGTAATTTTTCACATTTCATAAAATGATCCGGAATGACATCATTTTGATTAGACAGAGGTTATACACACCTTCTAGAGATGAAAAGATGTGAAAATGGGACATTTGAAAATTCATGAATTTTGGCCAAAAATGATGGGCTAACCCCTTGCCATTTTGGTCAAAAAAGTGTCATTTTTCACATTTCATGGAATGATCTGCAATTACATTTTTTGATTAGACAGAGGTCATACACACCTTAGAGATAAAAAAAAATATGAAAATAAGCTTTTTGAAAATTTATGAATTTTGGCTAAAAATGATGGGCTAACCCCTTGCCATTTTTGTCAAAAATGGTCATTTTTCACATTTCATGAAATGATCTGCAATTACATTTTTTGATCCGACAAAGGGTCATTCACAACTTCTAGAGATAAAAAGATATGAAAATGGGCCATTTGCAAATTCATGAATTTTGGCCAAAAATGATAGGCTTACCCCTTGCCATTTTTATCAAAAAAATGTCATTTTTCACATTTCATAAAATGATCCGGAATGACATCATTTTGATTAGACAGAGGTTATACACACCTTATAGAGATGAAAAGATGTGAAAATGGGACATTTGAAAATTCATGAATTTTGGCCAAAAATGATGGGCTAACCCCTTGCCAGTTTTGTCAAAAAGTGTCATTTTTCACATTTCATGAAATGATCTGCAATTACATTTTTTGATCCGACAAAGGGTCTTTCACAACTTCTAGAGATAAAAAGATATGAAAATGAGCTTTTTGCAAATTTATGAATTTTGGCTAAGAATGATGAGCTAACCCCTTGCCATTTTTGTCAAAAAGTGTCATTTTTCAAATTTCATGAAATGATCTGCAATTACATTTTTTGATCCGACAAAGGGTCATTCACAACTTTAAGAGATAAAAAGATATGAAAATGGGACATTTGAAAATTCATGAATTTTTGCCAAAAATGATGGAATAACCCCTTGCCATTTATGTCAAAAAGTGTCATTTTTTACAATTCATGAAATGATCTTAAATTACATATCTTAAAAAGAGAATAGTCATACACACCTTCTATAGATGAAAAGATATGAAAATGGGCCATTTGAAAATTCATGAATTTTGGCCAAAAATGATGGGCTAACCCCTTGCCATTTTGGTCAAAAAAGTGTCATTTTTCACATTTCATGAAATGATCTGCAACTTACATTTTTTGATTCGACAGAGGTCATACACACCTTTAAGAAATGAAAGTTATGAAAATTAGCCATCTGCAAATTCATGAATTTTGGCCAAAAATGATGGGCTAACCCCTTGCCATTTTGGTCAAAAAAAGTGTCATTTTTCACATTTCATGAAATGATCTGCAACTTACATTTTTTGATTCGACAGAGGTCATACACACCTTTAAGAAATGAAAGTTATGAAAATGGGCCATTTGAAAATTCATGAATTTGGCCAAAAATGATAGGCTTACCCCTTGCCATTTTTATCAAAAAAATGTA